AGCTCCCACAATCCCTTGTGTCCCAAATTCATTGTCACAGCGCTCATCGTCTGCCTTTGCTAATCTCCCCCTGCTTCTGTCTGCAGGCCTGCTGAGGAGGTCAGCTGGCGTCTCRCAGCTCTGATGCCACATAGCAAAACGCTTGGAAGGCCTGCGTCTTCTCCTGTTTACCTGCCCAAAACATTTTCCTTCCTTGTGACGTCAGAGTCAAACCACTCAGGAGAAGATGCTCCACTTTGACTTCAGATATTTAGGTTTGAAGCGAATGAGGAAGTCAGTGCAGAATCAGTCAGTCAGAACATTTTGATTAATCCATGCTTATTTTCCTCAGGAAAAAGATAAACATGAAGGCCAGAGAGGAGGTATACAGATGAAGTTAGAGAGGAAACAGTTAGACAGAGGAACAACCAAAAGAAGACGGTGGTACAAGTTTCAAATGTAAATCATTTGAATCAAATCATTGCATTTGGTATTTATTTTCATTTGACACCAAGTTTTCACTTTTTCTAATCTGGGGTCTTACTTTTTTTTGGAAGAAATAAACACGTGGAACAAATTTTAAACCTTTAGCAAGTGCAGCTGTTTTTTTTTTTAATTCTCTGAAGTTTGTGAAATGTGAGCATTCCTAAGGGATCGAGTTGCATTATGGGTAATGTRAGGCTCAGTTTATCTAAAGATCAAATATCACTGACTCTGAATCCTTCGTCAGTTTGCAAGAGTGCGTCTGTTGGTCTTAAAGCCTGCTTTTAACGAAACATTGAATGTTTTTTGTTTTAATGGTTGAAGCTCGTTGCAGAGAACCAGAGTTTATTAGGACTGATTATAGAAATCATTTACTGACCTGTTTAAACTGAATTTTTATTATTAAGGCATTGATGTAAAAGAGGTTCTAAATGCACCATGCTTTGAATAAGAGACCATTTGTTTCAACAAAGTTCCCGCAGGCAGTGAAAACATTATTGTAGTTTGGTAAAAAAAAAAAAAAWAWGATTTTGACAAGGAATGAAATTTGTCACTGTCTGCATTTGGGTTCGAGGTGAACTCGAGAAGAGAACCTGTTAAGAGGTCTATCAAGTGCAGCTTGACGGGCGGTGAAATCCCTGCAGCTGCCTCAAAACGTGTAGGAGGCTCAAGTGTCAGCACTTACTGCCACTGGAGAGGAAAACAGCAGCACGAACAGCAGCTTTTTGGCTTTTCAGTCGGCCATATTCACTCTCTCATGGCATGAGCTGGAGAGCCCAAAATAAGAGCCGTGAAATGTACAAAATGTTGTTGACTGAAGAGAGAAAAAAGATTCTAATCAATGAAACAACAATGTCATTGATGCTCGAAAAGAAAATAAATGAGATATTGATCAAACAAGACAAAAAGATGGTTTTTGATGCTTTGAAGATCTTTTTCCTTTTATTACTGCAACTTTTAGACTGTTTTAATGCCAAGCTTTTATCCTACAATATTTAGATCTGCCCACAGCCTGGACC